GTGGATATATTTTCCTCTATTACAAATAATAGGAAATATTCGTGAATATGAAATGATTATGTTAAAAAAGAAGACATAATGTTTGTAATGTATTGAATCAGACATGGCTAAAAAGATAATTTGCTGCCTAAATACACACACACACACACACACACAAACATATATATATATATATATATATATATATATATATATATATATATATATATATATATATATATAATTCAAATTAAATTTAGCCAGGATTCAGAAATTATATGTGCTGATAATTCAAATATCATACACCCAAATGTCAGATTGTATTTTGGCAAAAATCATATTTATATTTAATAAGAATTAAAGTTCCATATACACAGAAAAATCATATTCCTCATATACACCGAATCAAATTCCACATTCCAGAATTAACATTCAGTATAAGATTCCCATGAATTCATATTTCATAAACTCAGAATTGAAATACCATATATATATTAAGAATTCCGAAGACTTAAAATATACGATATACTAAAAATTCACAATCTATATCCGTTTAAAGTGTATAATCTACCTATGTAAGACTCATGCAAAGTATTTACTAAGCATTTGAATCCAATATAACTTAATATCAGATTCCACATTGACACAACATAACCAAGTTCCATATACATATAATTTATATTCCATTTATACGCAAAATCAAAATTACACAGGAACAGAATGCCTATAATATATCCTATGAAAGGAATTTCCACATGACCGGAATACCAATGCGCAGAGACTCTCTGCGCAGAAGTGCCATTTTGGCTAAATGAAACATAAATATTTTCTCATGTGAACGAAAACACAGACATTTCAGCGGATTAGATATCACGCAATATTTCAATCTCAATTTCCGAACACAAAAACAAATTACCAATTGATCGATTGGTCGATCAAACGTATAAAAACTACCAATAAATAAAGCAACAAATGATTAATGTAGCCTCTGTTTTTTTTTGTTTTTTTTTAACGGTTTTGTCACTGAAGGCAAAAGATTTCGATTGTTGTCATTCAAAAGTTAAAAACAAAACTTAATTTCAAAAAGTATATACAGTCTACGTCAGAGAAATTAATTCTCAATTTCGTTTTGCTTTTTGAAAATCGACCAAATCTGCAACAAAATAGTGTATTTAATAAAAATATTATGTTGTCACACATGAATTGTCACAGTGTCTGGTTGGTTGTTGATCTGGTCGTCTTACGAAGTAAACTGTTTGTATAAAAAAAAAATCATGACTTATTCCTGACTCTTTTTCTCTCTACATAGCTTTTCTTTCAATATATTATTATTCATAAGTTCAATGAAAATGATTACAATGAAACAATGTCAAGTAATCTTACTGTATGAGTCAGTCAGTGATGTGCCATGCGTGATACACGCTTAGGCGATCATGTATCTTTCGATACATGACTGGCAAGGCAGAATTATTTTCCCGCAGTAAGTTGCCATTTTTTCAGCGGTAGACCAGTTGCCATCCATTTGTCTGTCTTGCTATTTAGCCATAGCTGGTGGGGGGAAGAAGAGGAGTCATATCTTTTCCAACGGTATTAGCACGTAAGTGAATGTAATGGATTCAAATAGGGTTCGAACTCGGCTATGCGATTCCTCAATCCTAGCCACTATCCATTACTCCAGCGTGTCTCTCTGTAAGAGTACAAGCTGGGAAAAACAACCATTTTCCCATTGAATCATTATATGCGATGAGAAGTGGATACTCTTTGACAATAGTAAGACGGTTGGCCAGTGGTAGATTCAAGTGAACCACCAAAAATTACGCAAAACCTCACTTTCACCCTAAAAATTAATGGATACTGTATGGTGGTCTTTCAAAATTGTTATTCATTCTTGCCTGGAGTGAAAACAGTAAACGCAACCATGTATTAAGTAGATAATCGACTCATTTGAAATATTTATCATATTAAAGGATGGAATGTTTGTTAAAAAAGGGATCAAGGATTTAGAATTACGTTGGAGAACATTCATTCATCAACATGGTGCCTATTTCAGCTTAAATTAGATATTTAACATTTCAGAAGCGTTTTATTAATTACTAATGAAGTGCGTCATTTCATGTGTGCCAACCAAATATGAAGATGTTATTTTTTGCTATGAGATCCGAAGATTTAATGAACAAACTCAGACACTTTGTAAAATGTGTGGCTAATTGAATAAAAAAAATAATTCTGAGTAAAGTGTTTCGTTCCTAGAAGGGGCATCTTCAGACTAGTAATAATTTTAACGAATGAGCCACGTTTATAGAGGAATGAGATGTGGGGGGAATAACTTCAAATAACGCTGGTTATAATGTTACATAGAGGACCGATGGAGCAATGGATAACAGCTCGGTTTGAAGAATCGGAGAGCCGTGTTCAAATTCCACTTAAGTTCACTGCATTCACTAATACTCTTGGGGAAAGGCATCAGTACATCCCCTTCTTCCCCCCAGCTATGGATAATTAACAGGACAGACTGGCTCATTTAGCCAGGGTTGGCTCCTCGTCTAGGAGAAGAGAAATGTCTGAATTCAAATCATCCTAAAGAGGATTTTTCTCCGCTACTATATCTTGGCTAAGAAACACCACTGTTTGTGTGGATGCAGTATATGTGGTGTCTCTCCGACCCTAAGCGGGGTACGGGACTCGTAATCGCCATCATGATTAATTCCTGCTCTAATATACATAGCAAAAACGTTTTTGGTGATCCTCTAGATTTATTTATTAGTAATTTTAATGTCATTTCTGGTTTATTTACCTGCTACTAATCTAGGATGATGAAACAATTTAAATGACTAAAGCAGGGCTTCTGATTCTTTAGCGAGGAGTTTACAATGAATTTAAAATCTGCCACCTCTAAAAATACATTCAATAGAGAAGGGAGATTAGCCACAAATGAGATATAAGTGTAATGTAACTTCATGCATGAAGTATATATTGTATAATTAATAATAATAACAATTAAATTTATGTTAATGATATTCATATAATATTAATATAATTATTAATAATAATAACAACAGTTAATCCAGTTGTTTTTATTATTATTGAAGTTACGATAAAAGCCAAGAAAATGTTCTTCAGGCTCGAAATAAGTAAAATTATATATATATATATATATATATATATATATATATATATATATATATATATATATATATATATTATATATATATATATATATGTATCATATATATATATATATATATATTAATACTTATATATATATTAATATATTTATTAGTATATATATTAATATATATATATATATATATATATATATATATATATATATATATATTTTTTTCACAGACTGTTCCAAACTGACTCAACTATAATATATGGGTAGTTAACAAAATCAGAAAAAAGCAACGTGCATGCATGCGAAATAATAGTATAAAACACATATATATATTTACACATCGCACCCTGTATATAAATATGAGACGAGAAATACTTATTTTGGCCGGCGCGTTTCGCCCTCTAATAGGTTTTATCAAAGCAAATGCATTGATTTTATTTTGTATTAATTATTCATAAAGAGAGGCAAAACAATTGTGTCGCATTTTGAATTTTTTAAATTTAAAAAACGCTCATAAATTGTCTCAGAAGACGAAACATGCCGTTTTTCTTCTGTCACATTGTCCTTCTACAGAAACATAATAGCTGGAAATTTTACTCATACACACACACACACGTATACACACACACGTATACACATACACGTATACACACACACACACACACACACACATATATATATATATATATATATATATATATATATATATATATATATATATATATGTATGTATGTATGTATGTATGTACTTATGTATATATAACTGTAGAAGTCATAATATAATTTCCCCCCTAGAATGCACACTATGCCAGAAACAATATGTAGGAAAATCTGAATGGCAGTTTCACTACAGAATTAATAATTATCGCAATCGAATTAAGGCGACTCCCCATGAAAGATTATTACCTGTAGAACATTTCCGCCTACACAAACACGATTTTAAACCCCATGCCAAATCCACTACAAATGAGAATAGAGAAAAGTTCAGAGTAGATAACATTAGAAAGATTTTAGAGTTCCATGAAAATAAATGAATACAACGTTTAAAAAGGCACTATCCAGCTATGGTCTCATCAGTGAGTAGCAATTAATGTTGATTCAGTTTGCACCCCTTCATCAACGTTTGAAAGATTGTGGTGACTTATTTTCATGCCTGAGGCGACTTTCAATCCAGATGCTACGTTGCAGGCTTTTCGCTATTCTATCGCTATTCTATCATTCTATGATATTCTATTCTATCGATATCACTTTAAATTTAACAATATCGATAGTATTAATACATAACCCTACAAATCAAAACCTACCCAAATTTCACACCTACACAAGACAGACATACTTACGGAGGTGTTGAGGCCTCATACTTATACACACGCCCACACGAATATACACACTTACACACATCATACTCACACAGTCCCAAATGAGCCAAATGATAACACCCCCATAGTAATATGGAGACTTACACACAACACACTGACTCCAAATAACACACACAAATATGCATCTCCTTTCCAGGAACCAATAAATGACCAGGCGATTCAGAGCAGCATGAATCCATCCATCTCTTATCTTAAATAAAAATTTAAAAGAGACTGTTTAACCAACAAAAGTCTGACCAAAATTCATGTTATAAAAAATTAAAAAACAAATGAAAACTACAGACAAAAGTTAATTTTCTCCATGAAGACATTCATTTCTGTAGTTTACTGCTTCTACTATCAAATAGATTTTCTTTTTCCCCTGATGATGGCCATGTTGGTCGAAACTAATCGAGGAATCTAACTGAAATAATAGTAACAACGAATGAATATTAATATACAACCCAGCGTGTCGGAAGGTTTTAATTTTTTAATATTTTTTTATTGTTCAAAACACACAGACACACAGACACACACACACACACACATATATATATATATATATATATATAGATAGATAGATAGATAGATAGATAGATAGATAGATAGATAGATAAACAAGAAGAAAGAATATTCAGTTAAAAAATTTTTTAAAAATGCCACAAACTAAAGAACGGTGCCGATTTGAATTTGGAATATGTATTTTGATCTGCAGTGTTAGGAGATTGTGTTTAAAATTCCCAAGTATCCGCATTCATCTTTTGACAAAATAACACACACACACACACACACACACACACACACACACACACACACACACATATATATATATATATATATATATATATATATATATATATATATATATATATGTAAATATATATATATATATATATATATATAAATATATATATATATATATACAACATCACACATATATATATATATATATAAATATATATATATGTTTAGTGTGTGTGTGTATTTTGTCAAAAGATGAATGCGGATACTTGGAAATTTTAACAAACAATCTCCTAACACTGCAGATCAAAAATATTTCCAAATTCAAATCGGCATCGTTCTTCAGTTTGCGGCAATTTTTTTTAAAATTTCTTTTTAACTGAATATTCTTTCTTCTTGTTAATCTTTTCGAAACATTCTGGTACCAGACAGCTATGGTCTCATCAGTGAGTAGCAATTAATGTTGATTCAGTTTGCAACCCTTCATCAATTTTGTGAAAGTTTGTGGTGACTTATTTTTATGCTTGAGGCAACTTTCAATACAGACGCAACGTTGCAAGTCTTTCGCTAGTCTATCGCTATTCTATCTCTCTATGATATTCTATTCTATCGCTATCACTATTCTATCGCTATTTCCACGGCAAATGTTCATGTGAGTTCCGTCCTTCAGTTCGAAGTCTTCAAATTCAAGCTTCTTTCATGGATACGAATCATCTTCATTTCCTTCTCTGTTTCAAATGTAATAAGAAAGATTCATTCAGACTGCTTTTTTTTTTCCCGCGAATTGCTATTTTATGGGACAGAATCTCGTGAGGTTACTTCTCTCATAACTTACAGTTTGCCCGTCACTTATTGAATTTTCTATAACCTCCTCTTCCATTCATATCGCACATGTCTTTCAACATTACATTTTATTGAATGTGTTCGTATAGTATTGTTTTTTTTGTTTTTGTTTTTTCTTGTTTTTTTTTTTTCAACCAGAGGATTGTTTATGATTACATGCTCAGAGAAACAAATATGTCAACTTCCGATTTAGGTATAATGTATATTTTGGCAATAAGTAATCATGGCATTTAACAGCTTCCTATTATTATTTACCACCTGCATATAGCCCTGATTGTTCTTGGGTAAATTAAGGGGCTTTTTTGTTGCCTTTTCCAATTAAGAGTTACTCTTTTACGAGATTAGATCACTAGCTAGCAAGGTAAATTGTTATATCTGCATAAGTCGGAGGGAAGAAACGGTTTTAAGAGAATGTATCTTCCATGTGCCTTTTCTATAGATGCTTTCATGGTAATTGTTCTGATGATTTTAACACTATAGTTCCTAGACTTTATGAATTAAAGCGCTGTACTAGATTAGCGGTAAGGTCTCATCATTTTTCAATTGGAATAGGTAGATGTATATCCGTAAATTCTATGCTAGCAGTTTTTTCTATCGCATTTCTCGCTTGTGGAAATCACATCCGATCTTCAAAAATTTAAATGCAATGTGAATAGATATCTTCTGTTTTCTTAATTCTTTTTATTTTATTGCCCTTTCTCCTTCATTGTTATTTTTTATCATATTCTCAAACAGTGCCACCTTACGTCTGAGTGGGTATATTGCCTTGCTTGGTGCGGAATTATTGATTTTTCTTTAAAGAAACAGAAACTGTTTCGACAGAAAAATGAACCCGGCTCACCGATTGCATTTTTTGAACTATTTTAAAGTCTTATGAGTATATATTCAACATTCGCCACTTATGTCTATTGTAGATTTCATATTGGAAAATTAATCAAGTAGACTACCTTTTTAAAAGATAGATTATTTCGATGATAGCAATGTCCTCAATCCGACTTCAGTGATAAGATCTATTTGCTAGTTGAATGCATTGTCCATTTTGTTGCAGAATCCATTACAGGTCGCATGACATGATTAACTGCAATTAATCTAACACCGTCAGTTTTAAAGGAACCGCTACTAATTACGATCGTCGTTCTAATTAAGGATTTAATTAAGTACAGTAATTGTAGGGAAACGCCCTTTATTAGCAATTCAATAAAAGAACAATCTCGATGCTAAAATTCCAAAAAAAGTTCAATTATGCCAATTCTAAGACCGAAAGGAATTCTATGGATATTTATTATTTCGTTATGAAATTAAAAAAAAAAAGAATTAATAAATAATGATTTTCTGACTCAGCTGACAAATTGAGTTTATCGAACAATAACAGCTATTTAAAATGAATGCCCGCTCATTGTTCGCTTGATATTGTTTCAAAAGCTGCGACCTTCTGTCCATACATATTAACCTCTTCCCCCGATGTAAACGTGTATATACGTTTTTGCCGAAAGTATATGTATTCAAAGACGGACGATTAAACCCGTCCAAAACATAACTTTCAAAACCCAGCTACAAACGTGTTTATACGTCGATCTTGATTGTTTTTATTCCATTCTAATCTTGAAAAGAGTTCAGTTGTCGTCTCATACATTTCGTAGAATTCTTAGCTACCGATCGGGTACTAAAAGGTGCATCAATTTCTTAGTTGCTATATTAAAAACAAAAAAAAATTTCTTCTAAAATTAAAAAGTTATATCTACTGGGGGAAAATGTATGACAAAGTAGAAATTTTATTCTTCTGAAGCGTTTCGTCCTTTAGGACTTCATCAGACTAAATTTGCTATATTGTTGTGAATACACATGCGCAAGGAAGTGGGGTACTGGCAATTTATTTTATTTTTTTATTTAGCCATCACTTTGTCTAACTATCTATCTGTTTTGGTCTAATATTAAATTTATTTTGATTTAATTTAAAAATCATCAAAGACACAGGTTATGCAATATTTCACACGTGGAGTGTGTAAAAAAGTACTTCAGTTGATGATAGAATCGTAAATAAATAAAAATAAACAAATAATGATAATAAGGAAACAACAATTCACCACCTCTAAAATAGATGTATATTCATAATCGACAAGCCATCAAACCATATTCCGACCAACCTATCAGAAAGCCTTCACAGCCAAGATAAGGCTGTGAGACTATTTGAAGCAGATTTCTGGATATATATATAAAGAAGATTGAAATTAATCCTACAAAATCAGCATTGTTGAAAGAAATTTTGACCATTCTTCCATGCTGCCATTATAATAAACTCTGAACTGAAATCCGACAACTGCGCGATTCAGTGTTGAATTTAATCAGTTACAGTATACTACCACCTTAAAAAATATGCATCCTTTCTTCCAAACAACTTTTAAGAAGACCGCTACTAAATTTGAAAACCTACATACCTTCGTTCACCCTTATTGTCGCTACATTTGAGTACACAAACACTCACACACATAAAAACACACACACACACACACACACACACACACACACACACACATATATATATATATATATATATATATATATATATATATATATATGTGTGTGTGTGTGTGTGTCGGTGTCGCGTCAAATGTGACGTCTGCCTGGCCACGCCCGCCGGGCTGCCCTGGTCACGGCGCCAGTTGTGACGTCACCCCGTCTGTCTCCGCGCCGTCGTCGTCCTATCCTGTCCCGCGACGACCAATGTGACTTGGTATTGGTCGCGGCACCAAACGTGACGTTTTAACCTTCTGCTGATTCGGATGGGAATCTGGTTAGATTCGATGTCAGCCTTGTCGTTCCCAGCTCGCCTCCAACGTCTGGTTACTGAAGTAACTGTTTTTATTTCTAGTCTAACCTACCCACGTTGTGATTTGATCTTAGGTAGACGAAATCAATCAGTCGCCGGGCAGTAATGCAAGTCAAGTACGATCAAGGGCAATACCGCACAAGTATATGTAAAAGAAAATAAAGTAATACCTCGAAAAGTTCAAATGTGTTAAAAAAGGATAACAATATTTTATATCTGGTTTCTGAATACAGGACTGCATCTTTTCTCCCAACCCGCTATATGGATACGTGACACTTTGTTAAGCGAGTCTTAACATTATAAGTTGTTTGTTCTTTAAGAAACTGGTCCTTGGTGTATCTTCAGGCGATATTCGTAAAACTTGTTTTGGTGGCGTGAGTCTAAGTCGTTCTTCAAAAATAAATTGTTCTTGATTAGAAGTTGAGGTCGATAATGCGTGAATCTCAGTCAGCTTCTGCGAGGCAGGTCTTCAGAGCTCTCAACTCACAGGAACTGCTTAACTCAACTCAACTCCACTCAACTGCGAACTTCAAACTGCCAAATTACTCGTTGCGACTCTGCTTATATGGACGCCGACCAAAAGCGGGGTGGGCTTGTCGGGGTTTGAGGTTCCTTGGTAATTCTAAATCCACAATCCTCTTCTTTGTTTTCGGTCAGGAAAATTTATTATTTTCCATTTTTGGAAGTCCTTCCAGATTCTTCATTTTACATATGGGTATCTCACCCAATCCCTTCAGGGGGCGTCAACAGCTTTCCCCCCTCTCTCACGGTGGCATCTCACGCCGAACCCTTCAGGAGGGCGTCAACAGGCCTTCTCTCCCTCTTCACATGATTACCTCCGCCTAACGCTCACGCCACCATTCATCCATTGGGCGCACAGCGGCGTGGGTGTGTCCCGACTAGCCTCGGTTTAAAAATTCTTGCTCAAGGAAAAAAATTATTTTCCTTTTTCTTTTTCTTCTTCTCGACAACAACCCAATACGACCCGTAGTGTGGTCTCTTAATCTCAATTTTATCCTGAATGTCACCTGGGATTCATCACTCGGGACCTTCGCCGATTATCAAGTGGGTGGCCATCTGGGGATCTGGAGGCTACAGCCAATTATCTGTTCCGATAAAATAATTTTCTTATCATAGTCAGCTCCTGACACCAAATGACATCTCCGTACATAGCTAATGGTTTAGTCTTTTGTTTTCGTAATTCTGCGGTTGGTCCAACGGACATTTTTCCGCTACCCAATTAAATTTTATCTCT